AAATAAAATTGATGACGAACAAAGTACCTCATTGATGTATCGAACACAGTAAAACAAGAGCAATTTTGTGTTATACCCGTAGAAAAAGATTTTTGTGTCATCGTTTTTTCAAAACGCATCAATTTTTTCATTATTTTTCTTGCTAAATATCGAGTCCGACATTTCACTGAACTGAGAATGAAAAGAATAGGATGAACCAAAAAAAACACATTCGAAAACCGAAGTTAAGGGTGATTTCTAGTGGATTGTTTGACATGAAGGTGATTCGATTCCAATGTCTTATAGAAAGTTCTTGCTTCCATATATTCCACAATTTTTTGGAATTTTTTTGTAGGTTAGATAACCCAGATATCTGTTGGTTCAAAAGCTCTGGGACACCCGGTGTAGGTGATCATAATATAATCTTTTCATACTCGGAAAGTTAGGTAATTGATTTATAATCGTTTAAACTTTTTTGTGTTTATACTTTTTTATGAAGCCGATATATGAATTTTTCGCCATTTTTCTTCTCCTATGTGAATATTTCTGAAAAATTACCGAGTATAGAATGGAGTGATTTTTTTCCATTCCAGATACGGCAGGCCAGGTATATTTTATGACGCTTGTATCTATTTGTCCATAATCAAATGACACTTGTATACTGGTCAAAGACAAACTATAGCTAGAAACTGTTGAATATTCGCGTTTTTAGTTCCAGACATTTTAAATTTCTAAAAATATTGAGATACCGAGTACAATCATTCCATAAATACCTCTCTCTATCCTCTATATTTCGAAACTTATAGAGAAATTCAAATGGATGTCAATGAATTCATAAATACTCTTATGCTGCACAATTTGAATTACTTGGAAAGTAATATTCGGTTCACTTGATGTTATAATATGACTTCGCTTCATCAAGTGAAAATATTGACATTATATAATTTTCAAATATTATTACAAATAAAAACAATCTTCAAAGATGTTTACTGGATCGTGAAACCATTGGAAGTATAAAAGCCTGCTGTGATGAAAGGAAGAGAGCCCTCAAAAGTACCCCTTGAGCTGCTATACTTATATCCATTGGCGTAGAGCTAATCGTTGAAAGTGTATGTATTCGAAGTATTGAAGAGGAAACAATAGAAAAGAAGAATTTCAAGTTCAGTCATAGTTTTTTCGAAATATTGACTTCCCTAACTACTTTCAAAAATATAGAAACAGTGTTGTACTAGCATGAACTGAATTTTTATTCTCTGATTGATGTGTTTAGCATTGTACATTTTGTCTTTCTTGATTTAGTAATTAATCATGGTGGAGAAGGTAGATTTTTGAAATGTCATAAACATCTGAGAGAAATTAAAACATCAGTTCTGGATAGTGGCCAAATAAAAGTAACGACGAACACCTCATCAGCGCAACCACCATTTTCTCGACTTGGCGCAACCACCATTTTCTCGACTTGGCGCAACCACCATTTTTTCGATTGTCAGCATTTTAGGTATTATTGCTTATATTTGAGCATTCACCATTTTTTAGATTGAAATCCAGTTTTCCATTCGACAAAAAACAAAGATATTTATTTAATTCATAATAAGACCGTGTAAAAAAAATAAGTAATCGCGAGTATCCAGAAGAATACGCTTTAATATTATATTCTTCTACTCCCGTATCAGGAATACGCGAATTTTATAAATGCTACCGATTTATTAATGTTGTTCATTTTAACACGGATTCACATTATGAAACTGATTTTAGCCAATGAGAACACGTACTTTTCATTATGAAACAAAATTTCGGCCTATAGAATCACGTTATTAGGAATAATCGAGTACCTACTCTTTTGACATTTAATTTCAATTGAAATTCAATCACAGCGCGTCAAAAGTATACCTCTAAGTATGAACATGTCCCAGTATTGAAGAATTATCTTGGCAACCACCAGAAATTTCTGATAAAGCAAAGGTGTCTGAGAGAATTGAGTTGCAACGAAAAAAATTGAACAAGCATGGACTGAAGAATTACAAAAAATATTTCATCACTTTCGGCTCGTATCGTCCCTTACCTTGTACTCGTATATTAATACCTGGCTATAATTACATGATCGTTGGATTAACAATACTATTTTTCTGTCAACTGTCATTTTTGAATTTTGTTGCAATCGGTGAAGATCAGATTTATTCAAACAATCACTGTTAGTATCAGAATTCCTCATTAAAAATGTATGCAAAATGTAGACGGAAGTGAAATTGATGTGAATGTTTTAGGTACTTGCATATTTCTAAGAAATCTGTGTAAAAATGAAGCTCTCATCTTTGTGGGCAATTTATTCCATGCTAAGCATGACAATAAAAGTAAAACACAATATTTATGTGAACAAAAACTATTCAATCAGAATATGGATACAAACCTGAGAAATCGAAAACTTTGATATCTCAGCGGATCGAAGAGTTTTTATCTTCTATACGTCCAATGAAAACTTCTTATTCACAACGGTTAGTAAACAAGCCATTTTGATAGAAATTCATGTATCCTATGGAGTGAACTCATCTGCAACCAACTCATTATACGTGTTTCATTGGTTGTATGCAGTTGCATGGTATTATGTAGGTATTATGTTCTCAATTCGCATTCACTCCGAATTATTCAGAAGGTTAGGAGGTAGGTTAATCTAATTTTCGGAATTTTGGAATCTTATCGATGAGAGCAGGAATGATGAATTCGTAGAAAAAGTGCTCGTGCTTAAAATACTCTTTGCTAAACGGACGTTAACACTTGTAACATAATATTATACTATTTCCACTCCTCTATATCAGACCAATATCTTGGACCTGAGAAATCTTTCCATCTATTCGAATTACAAGGTGTCCCTGAAACGTCTGTACAAAATCTTAGGACATATTCCTGAGGTCAAAATAAGCCGATTTGAATAACTTCCCTCAGTCCGAAATTGTTTCGTTTACGAGATACAGGGTGGTGAAGATGAGAAAAAAAAAACGACAAGTACACTCCAAGAAACGATTTTGAAAATTCCATTTTTGCACTGCTAATTCACTGATCAAATTACATCCACGAAGATAACAGCAAATATTTTGTATTCGAAATAATTTGAATATTCCGGTGTTGCATCGAACACTTGAAATCGTATCTTGAAATCGATTTACTATAGCGGATTATCACAGAAGTATCTTTTTTGCTCGAAAATGTTCAGATATTTATCACCTCAACAAATATAGTAAGAAACTACACTGAGAAAAAAGTTATGGTAATTCTAAACCATGAGAAATCCATTGGTAAGCGCCATCTAATGGCCCCAATGAAAAGGTGTCCGTATTCGTGTTTAACACCCCAAAAAACCCCAGGATATCAATTTCTGAAGTAATACTATCAAAAATGTTCATGAATTCTGAGAAACTCGATTTTTATTCTTTAATTGAAAAGGAACATTCTCAGATATATTTATGAACACAAAAAAATGGATATATGGATATAAAGAAATACATTGAGAATTTGCATTCTCCATGTAATGAAAATATCAATTCTTTCTCGTTTATTCAACAGAAAACAACTACTTTCCTGGCTATATGCCACGACGAATATTGAATTACATCTATTGACCACACACGATAAGAATTTGAAAACAAATCTTCTGAAGTAGAGAATTTGCATTCTCCTTCATATAAAGATATGCATATAATATAATTCTGAATATTCCACAGAAAACAACTACTTTCCTGGCTATTTGCCAGGTCGAACATTGAATTATATCTGTTGATTATCCAGAAAAAGAGATCATGAAAAATCAGAATCCTCTGAAATTGAGAATTAACAGCATCTTTCAAATCGAATAGATATGATGTATTATGATATAAAAATATAACTTACCGATATGTTCAGTATTGAAATGAAAATTGAAATGTATAGGAGAAGTATACTTGTATGAACTCTGATCTTGATGAGCTTGGTACTTAAAAAAAAAATCATTCGTATCAGTGATATGGGAATTATATCTCTCACAAACAGGTTAATATGAATTCATTATTATTCTTTGATTTTACCACCGTGCATCCGGAAACGATGCATTTTCGGACTGATGTATGTTTTTTTAATCGGCTCATTTTGACCTCAGGAATATGTGCTGAGATTTTGTATAGACTTTTCAGGGACACCTTGTATACCTTAATTTGATTCTCATGTGAAATGTCACTCATCTGACAGCTCTCAACGACTCCCAAAGACAACATTAACATTCACGAAAAAACTGAGAATGTATTCGAAAAAACCATCATGGTTTGCATGTGGTGTATAGTTACTATAACGTCTACGCCAATGGATACAAACGTTCAAATAAATTAATTTTCTCCATGTTTACCGGCCCCTAAGTCCTAATATGAAAATCATCTCGGTGTTTCACGCACAGCCATAATGCCAGCCTCAAATAACTTGTGGCAAATCTGGATCCGAGCATAGGTTTCTGTCTTTTGTATGTGTGGTATAGACTCTAAGCGGATTAGCCTGTGGATTTGAGCGGATTTTTTTTTTCAATTCCGTATTGCTTATATACCTACTTAATTAAGTCTAGTAGCTTATAGGGATGCGCTGATGTACTGCTGAGGATGAGAACTCGTATTTTCGGTTCTTGTTTTTTGATATATATGTGGAGTCAAAGGATGAATAGCTGGATAGGATAAAGAGAGATTTTGTATGGCACAGATTATTATTATTTCCTCGATCCTCGATATAAATGATATTGAATGGAGAAGGAATATTTATCATGTTTTATATAGATGTTTCAACGATACTAATAGATACTAAGTATAGGTAGTATTTTTTTGACTAGCTCATTTATAAAATGACAGTGGCGATCAATATTTCTTCAACGATGAAAATTATGTCAAACTGAATTTTGTCATCAAGAAAGTTCGAGTGCAAATGTTTGCAGTAATATTTTGGAAGAAGTGTTTAGCAATATTTTTTTAACATATATTAATTATATCGATTCAAAAATTGAAAAAAAGTCATATACCAGATAAATCTTTATTCTAAACAAATACAATGCATAATACAAATGAATAGTTTTTGCTAGTCTGTGAAGTGGATACTATTTACTATTATTTATGTGGATTATTGCGTATTGTTCCAGTTGGAGTTGAAATTTAGAATTCTCAATTTTTTTTTCAGAGTGCTGAAAATTATGTTCATTGAATAACAATGTAAAACGGTAAAAAAGTGACATAACTACTGAAAACTGAGAAGCGATTGTGTTAAGAATATATTTACAGAATACAAATCTAAGTGTTAGTATGTATTTGCATAGGTGCATAATATGTTCTAAATTATATGGGTATATCTTTGGGAAAAATCAGAATTGAGATCTTCAATTCTTGATATCAATCATACTCTACACTACTCCACAAAATTATGTGTAAAGCTATCTATAGAATATGGAATTGTTTAAGTATGATACATCTATTTACATTTTTTGATATGTAACCGTTTGTTGGTGTGTAAAAATATAGAACAATATTTACAGAACACGTTTTGTACTATTAACCTAGAGTGCTGGCTCAAATATTCTTAAAATGATTCACGTAGAAATAAATAAATATTTCCTAAACATTTAAAATTAGTTATAAAATGTACAAAATGTTATTTGACACCCTCGAAAATGATTCAAAAATAAATTAAATGTAACGAAAGTCGTATAGTTCTTGTTCAAAATCTCACGTGTAAAAAAACAAACAAAAAAACACATATTTCATCATTCGTCTCATGATATTAAACTGATGACAGATGTTGATGCATCTTCGCTCGGAGAGTTGGGATATCATCGTCTATTCTCACGAGTAAACGAATTTTCTGGAAAAAAGTCATATTTTTCATCAATCTAATCTGTTTTTTCGAATAAATTCCTGATATTTAATTATAAATGTTCTAATGACATGTATAGAAGGGAAATATATGAAAGTGTGTGACATGTGATATTAGTGATTTAACTTTTTTGTGGTGTTGAAGGTTTTGATCATAAAAAATATAAAAGGTTACGCCATGTAGGTTGCGCAGCTGACTCATTTGAGTTCATTGCGCATAGGGTGGGGGGGGGGGGGGGGGGGAACTTCACGTACCTCATTCCTATCGCCAGGTGTCACGTGCCAAATATAGATCATGTATCCAGGAATGCATAACATTGAGGTGAGTGCAGTTGTCCAGCCAAACAGATGGGCCCACAAAGGGAATTCGTAATTTAAGTATTTCACCGGTGCCCATTGCACCAAATTAAAGATGAAAACACTCTGAAAATAAAAAAAAATGAATATAAATTCACAAATTTGATGAAGATCATAGAATGACATAGTTGCCAAATTCTGTTTAGTTTCTTAAAAAACACGGTACATTTATCGTTTTGATTTACTTACCACGCATATGAAGGGTGTGGCGATTACCCAACAAAATTTCCACCAACCCATAGGATAGTAACCGATCATCTCTTTGATACCATCGTAGAACTTGTTGACTCCAAATGCCCAGGAGATGGCAATGCATTCGAAAAATATCAAAAACAAAAGGCAGAAACCGCTGACGGCGTATGAGTCTAGAATCTGGAAGACATACATTCCGCCCTGAAAAAAAAAATGATATCAAAGCAGATGGAGATTTGAATGAATGATAATGCTGACATCAGAACTTGCGATATGAGTGTCAAAACGATATTAGCTTGGAAACGATGATGATTGTTCACGTGTTATCGAAAAAAATACAAGAACGAATATGAAATTGGAAGGTAATTGAGTGATTATTCTATTCAAAAAATAATAACCCACTATAGCCCATGGTATGGTCTAGCCTATATGGATATCCACCTATTTACTTACTTATGATATGAACGATAGTCCGGCTAGATAGGAGAGGAAGCAGACGATAGCGATGACAAGATCGGAAGTTGTAGTAGAAGTACGATAAAAATGTTGATGAATTCATCAAAATGTTTCCATCAATAAAGGAAGTTGTTGAAAGTGACAACTTCTTTCCAACAGCTGTAGTCCATGGTGGTATTGCCTATGGATATATACCTATTTACTTACTTGCGATATGCACGACAGTCCGACTAGATAGGAAAGGAAGCAGACCATGGCGATGAATATCTCTTTCCTCTTCCTCAGTAAGGCAGGCCATTCGTCCACCACGGCTGTGACGAAGCCTTCCATGGTGCAGAACTGCGAGTCGAGGCCGATGAGGAGGATCATGAAGAAGAACAGGCAGGCCCATAGGGGAGAGCCTGGCAGCTGCAGCACCGCCGAAGGGTATGCCAGGAAGGCTAAACCAGGTCCTGGAATTATAAGGGAAGAACATAAGACTCCATAAAAAAGCGAACCCACGACATAAGAGACTTCAAGAAAAAAATTCAGACGAGTGGTTATATATTATCCTAAATATTGAAGAATAATGTATCCAGATTTGTTCCTTCCAATCTGAAAATAACAATATTCGAGCTGTCGATGTCCCTACAGGCTATCTCATATAATTTCTAAGATAGAGATCTGCACGAACGTTGCCTACTTTTGACAAAGCAACTTCCTCTGAATTAGGAGTACCTCAAGGGTCGATATTGGGACCCATATTGTTTGTTTTGTTTATTAATGAGTTGGAATATTCAATTCCTGGAACATTCATAACAATGTATGCAGGCGACACGTCATTTATAATTTCTGACAGATCAGATTCAGTTTTGAAAGAAAAATGTGACAAAGTTTTTGAAATTATCAACAAATGGTTTTCAATGAGATTCCATCATCGGCAAAGGAGGTGTGACATTAGCTTTAGAGCTAATGATAATTCTGACACTGTAACAACAGAGTGTGAGGTCTTCACATTGATGAACATTTAAATTGGCAGAATCACTGTGATTTTCTGATCAAAAAAATTAACTCTACTTCATATCAGTTCAGAAATATAAGGCAGATTTTAAATGATGATCAGCTGCTGAAGCTGTACTATGCTCAGGGGGATTCCAGACTGAGATATGGAGTGTGCTTCTGGGGTTTTTTCTCTAGCTGCTCTGATGTCTTCATAGTACAAAAAACAACTCATACGAATCATAAGTGGCATAGGTCTCTTTGATTCATGCAGACCAGCTTTCAGAAATTTTAAAATTTTGACTGTCGCTAGTCTTTTAATTTTTGACTTGTTCTTATCTGTGTTCGAGAATAGAAATAAATTGTTTGGACTGAATGAACGTAAACATAATGATACAAGACAAAAAAACAATGTTTTTATACCATTTGGAAAAACCAAATTAGCTTTCGAATCTCCTGACCAGATCCACGTGTTTATAATTTGCAACCAGATTTTATAAAAGAATCCAAAACTGTTTCAATGTTTAAACGAACACTCAATAATTATCTTGTTGATAAGTGTTATTATGGTTTCGAAGAATTTTTGTGTATAAGTAGGTAGTTTTAGTTTTCATCCTCTTTTTTCAGGATTTTTTAAATCTCCGATATCCTTTTCTCTTATTGTTTTTTTGACGATTCCTATACAAATTTTGTAACTTTGTCTTAAAGGAAAATGAAGATTATTATTATTATTCCTCGTGAAACTCACGATGCCACAATCAAAATTTTCATAACTCGCTTCGTTTTTGAGATTCAGGGCGGAATTGAAAATATTGCATTTTGGGACCACTCCTGATGTATCTCAGTTATCTTTAGACTTATTAAATCATTTCGCTATTATACGTTGAAGTCGTAGAAAAAGTATTGTGTATATTTCCCAATGGAATCCAAATTTTTTACTCGTATGATTTGGAAACTTCATACTCGAGGAAAATTACTGTCATTTCGTTGAAGAATATACTGATTTCAAGTATCATCCGGATTTGTTGGCCAGTGTATACTGAATCACCTCGTATGCCATTGATAAAAGGGGGACGTGCAATATTAAGGCTAATATCCAAGTGGTATCATTAATTAGAACGGAAGCATATCGTTATTTGAAATTGTTCCTGCTCATTATGTTTCGACTGTTTAAAAGACCCTTCGATATCTATCATAGAGACCGTTTGACTAAAACAACATTTCTTCTCGAACATACCCTACTCAGAAACAAGTCATGGATCAAATATAAACTCTTTAATTTTTGCGAAAATTCTTACCCTAAGTATATGTTGGAATTAAAATCTGAATCAAAAGTTATTACAATCCTCAAATGTTAAGAAAAATTACAATGCCTAGCTTCTCTTTTCATCCTAGGTGCACGATGTTCTGCGAACATAATAGGGATTCCGTTTCGTGCACACCAAGAGATAAAAAAAACTTGGCATCGTCACAACAAGTTTAAAAAACAAACAGAGTAAGATAAGCGGTCCTAAGGAAAGCCATCAACTTTGAAATTTGAGATATTCCCTAGTGGTTAGTTTTTTTTAATGGTTTTTCATATGTGTTCCTGGCAATTTTCAGATGCCTCTTTGTCTTTGGTTGGTTAGATTATTTACACCTTATAATAGGTAGAAGCACTGTCAAGTTGATAGCAAACTTTGAAATATGTGTGAATAATTTGACTTAGTTATATGCAAAGGGAACCAAGCAAAAAAAAGTAGAAGTATTTATAGCATCTTAGATTTCGATTCATTATTCCATTCGTGGAATATTTTCGTTAGGTAACATTTCTTGTATTATTTCATCATTTTTTGATGTAAAATATAACATGGCATAACATCAGTTCATGTGAATATCAGTTCAAATGATACGGCATCTTTTTTTTTTTCAAAAATCAAGAAATCGAAAAATGGATTTCTGCCATTTTTCAAAAATGCACTTCCAATTCTGAAACGATTATTGTTAATGATATAAGATTTTCAGCATTGAATTAGTAATAAAAATTGGGCTCTCTCAAAGGAAGAGTCTATATTTTGGAACGAAATATAGGAGAAAAGTGATGTCAGTGTCTGAGAGTCAATTCTCATGAAAATCTCAATTCAACTCAAATTGGATATCTAGTTGGAGAATAGAACATCCCAAGTTTAATTCATAGACCATCTGATAGGATTTTTTTTGTACTACATTTTGGAAACCAAAATAATCTCAATCGATTATTCTACTTCAAAATACGAGTGTGGTTACACTTAAACACACTATGTATGGAATTTTCTTGAAATTATTTATATAAAGTATCCATGTCGTTAGGTTAATTTCATTCAGGATGGGATGTTCCTTTTGACCGATGTAAAAGAGCGAATGGAAGAGGTGAATAGAACCAAAGGTCATGACACAATGTAGAGGAATGGAGAATAAGGAATAAAAAATAAGAAATGCGGTTCTGCTATTGGTCAATTCTAATCTTGAACCTGTTTGGAACCAATCATAGTGCTATTACTGCTATTCCTTATTCTTTTGCATTGTGTTTGGACCTTTATAGAACTTACCTGAAGCAGCAACATCAGCAACAGGCCTCTGTTGCTCGTGGGCCATGAAACCAACCACAGAAAATATAACGAAGCCTGCAAACATACTGGTACTGGAATTCACTGAACATACAATCAAAGCATCCCTGAAAAATGAAATGTTCAAATATGTCACAAAGCCCGGCTCAGCCATGACGATATTCAGGGCAGGATTAACCATAAGGCGGACTAGGCAACTGCCTAAGGGCCCAGTTTCATTGGACAAAATTTTTTTTTGAAAATTTTTATGCTTCCTCAATTATACTGGGTGCTTCGTAATATGTGGGACGCTAAGTGCAGGAGATAGGGCGTCTCATTTGCGAGATACAGGGTGTTGAGTTGAAAATTAAAAATAAATTCCATTGAATTTCTAGATAACCGCTGAACAAAATTTCTTGATATTTTGGTGCATCCCTCAGTACCTGAGAATAATCAAATCAGTTGCATTATTTAGTCTGACTCCCAGTGGCACCGTTAAGGGGTATAAATGTATGATATTTCAGGAAAAAAACATGGGTGGCGATGAACCTTTTAGAAATGTTATTCGAAAATATGAGAAATGATGCAATTTTGTAGTAAAAAGCACCAAGTGTTGAACAGTAAACATTGTTTTCTAGAATAACCAAATTCAACTCCAAAATCTGATGTAGGTTTAGATGTCGGATTAGTCCATTCAAGACATCTGTTCAAATTACGCTAGCTCTAGCTCTAACCAAGATAGATATTATTCTGTTATTGTGACACTATGCCAGTCACATAACAGACCAAATTTTGCCACCAGGATAAGCCCTACAGGGTGGACATTGACAATTTCTATAAATATTTGCAACTTCATCGCCCTGTAACTCGCAAACGAGGCCTTCTACGACTTTCGTTCATGGGAACTTTTCTATTTTCTTGAGACGCATCGCATCTCGTTTCTCTTTTTTGCTCCGTCACATGACCTGGATCATCACTTATCTATTTCAATGAGGTGATGCTGTAGCATCAAGTCAAGGTAATGATGTTGCAATATCATATAAGAAATTGAAGAACAGGATACCAAAGGAGACGATCTGATTGACTGGAGTTTTGTAATAGAAATAATGTATTTCAAAAAGCCAGAGAAAGGTAAATGGAAGGAGCCCCGAGAATTGCATTGATCAGGGGCCCTGATAGAGTTAATCCGGCCCTGACGATATTTACTTGTAAACGTTATTGGTGAACTTATTGTAGCTCCCTAGAGCGACTAGAGTGCCAAGACCCAGTCCATAAGAGAAGAAAATCTGGGTGACAGCGTCAATCCACACTTGCGACTCCTGGAGCTTGTCCAAGTTAGGCATCACGTAGAATTTGATGCCTTCCATGGCTCCCGGAAGAGTGATGCCTCTGATGAGTAGGATGCTGAGAAGGACGTACGGAAACAGAGCTGTGAAGTATACCACTTTGCCAGTCCACTTGACTCCTTTCCAGATGCAGAAGTAGCAGATGATCCAGACCAGGAGCAAGGTCCCTGCTAGTTCCCATCTGATGGTCCCAACGTGCTCGATACCTTCGGAGATTTGAAGGGCTCTCCGTCTGAAAAAATGAATGAATATCAGAAATTATCAATTCATCAGTACCGGGTGACAAGTTATGAAGTACCACCACTTGTAACTCTTTTATTTTTGACAGAAGAAAATAAAAAAAAAACAGACTTACAGGGACTTTTTTTCTTTTCATAACATAAGATACATTTTTACTATCTGGAAAGATATACAAGGAGCAGCAAAAAGTGTTAGAATTATGAATTCACCATTGGAAAGACCTTCCGAAGAGCTTTCCAAAAATACCGCACTCTTCTTTATTTCTAAATTTTATGGGCATTCAAAACTAACAGAGAGAAAGAGAGAGAAATTAAATTCTCATTGGCGGTGATCCCTGAAAATCAATATTGTAATCATTGACTGTCAAAAATCATTCAAAATCGATTGTCATTTGTCAGTTTTGATAGCCTATATTTTGAGAAATACCAAAGATAAATATACAGGGTGATTCATTCAGAATGGGAAATCTCTGAACTACAGATAGTAAAAACTAAAATATTCAGATTTACCCTAACATGCCTGGTAAGAATGTTGCTTGTTTAGGAGATATAGGATGTTCTAGGGGAAGATTTTATTTCAAAATTTACCATTAACTTTGTAAGTTCTAACAGCATGAACATGAAATTCTGTAGTTTCAGGTTTTCTGGCATAAGAAATACGAATATGCGACTTATTTTGTGATTGGTCATAGAGGGAGCTAGTGGCACTCTGTTAGGTACTTCGGTAAATTACATTATATCTTGTTCGTCCATCAAATGATGATGAAAATAAGTAAAACATCTGAATGCCTGTTCAATTTTACATAAAAAATTTACTTTTTCAAAATGTCTAGCTCTAACGGTTTTGGCGTTATTGAAGCTCTTGAAGAGACTGTCAACATTGATGATAATCACAAACAACGCCAACAACAAACAGAATTTCAAAGTAAAATTTCGACCAAAGTTAAGGAAAAATCCAAAACTCGATCCAAAATAAAATTTTCAATTGAACACCCTGTATCTGCAACATTTCTATAAAGCATGTTGGGTTAAACCCTTCATATTTTGGTATTCACTATCTGAAGTTCACAGATTTCTCATTCTTCATGAATCACCCTGTATAGAGTACCGTATTTTTATGGAGGAAATATATAGGGTGTTTCATGTTTTTGCAGATAGTGAAAATGTATCTTTTGATTCGAGTTCGAGAAGAGAAAAAAATCCTATTTCCTACTATCCAGAATAAATGAGTTATACAGGGTGTCCCGAAAACGTCTTTACAAAAACCTACCACATATTCCTCAGACCGAAACAATTCGATACAAGCAAATTTACCTCAATACAAAGTTGCTTCGTTTGGACGCTAGACATCCCTGTAGTTTCAATTCTCAAAGGGTTTTTGCTTCATAACTCTGAAACGGCTCATGAGATTTTACTCAAATTTGGCATGTTGGCAAAGCATTATTGGGCAATCAAACCCATATCATGATCATTCTTGTATCTTTGTATACGTGAAAATTATGGAAATTTCAAAAAAATTCATGAAATATCTGTTAATTGTTTTAGTGTTGACTGATATGCTTTGAATTACTAAATTTCCAATTTTGTCAAAACCGTGAGAGTTGTAGTAAACAAGTTACTTAATCCAAATTTCATATTCAAACCCCTTTCTTTCCATTGGCGTAGATGTTTTAGATGTTTATTGGCTGAAAAAATCAAGTACTACGACCATGGAATGATATTCGTCATAATCATGATATGGGTTTCATTGTCCAATAAAGCTATGACAACGTACCAAATTTGAGTAAAATCTCATGAGCCGTCTCAGAGTTATGAAGCAAAATCGATTTGAAAATTCTTACTTCAGATTCGTCTAGCGCCCAAACTAAGCAACTTTGTACTGAGTTAAGTTTGCTTCTATCATTTTCTTTTAGTCTGAGGAATATGTGGTAAGATTTTGTAAAAACCTTTTAGACACCCTGTATAGAGGGTGGTACTTTATAACGTCACCCGGTACAGTACACAGGTTTGGTCAAATGCACTTACTCCCAAAATTCTTTGACAGGGTCGGTAAGTTCGTTGATCGATACGTTGTATTGGTTGATCTGGCAATATTTAGTGAAAGTGTTGGTGGAATTGTATTTGTCCCAACAGTTTAAGCTTTTCCTATCGTAAGGGTTCACGCAGTATCGTGTATTCCAATAGTTGTTACAACTCCTCCAAGGAACATCTGCAAATATTTTCCACGTCAGGAGATATAATTTTCTTTGTTGTTGGATGTGTATGCAAATTGAATATCTTAAGGAGGGCTCATTCAAGATTGACCCACATTCGTCCGATTGCCTGGTCATTTTCTTGGTTTAATTCAATAAATATGCGTAGGTTGTGTCCATTATTATCTAATGTGTAATTGTGTATCTCAACTAGGAAAGATTTCTTCCTCGTACCTATTAAACGTTTATCTTTGTCTTGGAGATGGTCCAAAAAGCTACGAAGGTCAACCTTTTTCTATTGTTCAATGATAATCATATTTATCATAATATTTGATAAACGTATGTGCTTATGGTATATATATTTAGCCTTACCAGATCTCAAGGACATGAAAAAGTAGAAGATAGCCCATGCCAGGATAACTATGTAGTAAATGTTCATCCAACATGACATCACTGCTGCTGCATATCCAATACCTTGAAGAAAACGATCCATATATTCGAGCCCCATGCAATGGAGTTATAGTTTCTGATACAGTGCCAGTCAAAAAATATACTGTTCATTCAGTTTCAGTTAATATGTAATAGACGTGATAGATAATTATCATTAGAACCTAGTAACAAATAATGCTCGCTTCCATATCGTTTTTGATTTTGGTATATGCTTTCAAAACTGATTTGAACATATTCTGACTTGAATGAGGTTTAACAACTCGAACATGAATTCTCAAATAATGAACAATGATTAAATATCTACAAAATTCAAATATAGAAAGGATTATAAGAGTGTGGAAATGAGACGTTGTTTCGAAAGAATCATGGAACAACAAAAATGTGCATTCAAGTCACCTCATGCCTATCTTACAATCCTAGTCTGGTACGAAACAATTTTCAGTATCGTAAACCAAACACCAAGGTGGTTGCTGATGGTTACTTGAATACGTGTACACCAGTTAATACTACCCTGGCCAAGAGTATTTGATTAAAATATCAGCTAACTGAGATCTCTAAACGGAGCCATATGAGTCGAAGTGAAAGTATACCAAAGTTTGCGTTCATGCTGTTTTGGACTTACCTTTGAAAATAGGTGCTATTTTGAAAACACCTAGCCCACCTATGGTCATCATCTGGCCTAACGCTAGTTCCATGAAGAACATAGGTATACCAGCCAGGATCAATGTTATGAAATATGGTACGAGAAAGGCACCACCTCCATTTTTATAACATAAGTATGGAAATCGCCACACGTTACCTAGACCTATAGCCAAACCTACTACGGATAATATAAAATCTAATTTGCTTCCCCAGGTTCCTCTTTCGGGATTGTGAGATATTGACTTTTTTGGATAGGTTACTTGGTTGACTAGGTTTGGTACGTTGGTTAACGCTGGCAATTCGATTTCTTCATGACGGTTTAGTTTAAGTGTGTTCTCGTCGAACTCTTGCATTTTTTCTTCCTTTCGGTCAGTCATTTTAGTAAGATTGTGTATTCTTCTTCTAGCGTCAGCTCATGACAAAACTACCATCTGGAAAATTATGAAAACACCCGACATATATTCATATTGGAAATCTAATCTTTTTATTTTTATGGTAACTGTTATTTCAGTTGATAAATTCTCGTTGATTGAATCATGAATTAATGTCTCTAGTTTCATGTCATGTTTTGGACACTGTTATGCAATAACACAGATCAATCGTAAAGGATCGTGGCTTTTTTATAAAAATAGGTCTAAGGCATATTTCATAAAATATGAAAGTTATAAATTTCTAGGATTTTCTCTCTTTTTGGTAGAAAATGTTATCAAATAGATAGGTACAAAAATTGAAATGATATCCAACAGAACATCATGAAGTTGAATAGCAAAAAAGCTTCACTCAGAGTCTCATCCGACTCATTTCAATTTTAGAACTTGTACCCTCGCTTGTACCTATAATTTTTTTATCTCTATCTATCTATATATCTATCTATCTATCTATATATCTACCATGTATCCTTAAGGACTTACCACCCCTGTAAAATCGTTATTATCTGATCGATTTCTAAAAACATTTTCTTGTTGGAGAGTTATTTGAAATGTCCATCCAACAAGAGAGTGATTTTATTCTTGGATATCACGGCCAACTGCGACCAATTTTATTGACCCATATTTCAGGAAGTACTATTAGGGATTTTTTTTTCAAAGAAAATAATGATAGAATCTGAATCAGGGTCAACTGAAACATACCTTTGCCAATTTTCATCATCAAAAAACACAGGGTGTCCGAAAAAACGATTTTTTTTTTTTAATAGGTGATCGGAAAATGTACTACTGTCGTATTTTTGGAAAGAACCAATGACAAATTATCATTGAGGATTACTTTCAAATATACCTGTACCAATTTTCATCATTCGAATATACAATGTGTCTGAGAAAAAAATTAAAAAGGATATGTGGCAATATTTTTTATCATGATAATTCTTCACTCTAAAAATAATTATGAATTAGGACCACTCGAAACATATCTGTACCGATTTTCATTATCATCAAACACAGGGTGTCCAAAAAATCAAATTATTATTGTTTTGAATTGATAATAAAATATTACCTACTTATTCTTTTTTATTTTTTTCTCATTCATATCGTATATTTGAATGATGAAATTCGGTACAGATATGTTCGAATTAGTCCTCAATGATGATGTGTCATGAATTTCTACCAAAAATACCACAGTACTACATTTTCTGATGACGTATTCAAAAAATAAATAATAATTCGTTCTTTTGGACACCCTATGTTTAATAATAATGGAAATCGGAACAGGTATGTTTTGAGTGATCGTGATTCAGAATCCTTCATAATTTTTTTTTTGAAAAAAATCCCTAATAGTACTTTCTGAAATATGGGTCAATAAAGCTGGTCGCAGTTGGCCACGATAACAGTCCAAGAATAAAATCATTCTCTAGTTGAATGGACATTTTGAATACCTAAAAGTTTTTCGAAATCGGCCAGATAATAACGATTTTACAGGGGTGGTAAGTCCTTGAGGTGGACACACTGTATATGTATGTATTTTCATTGCAAAATGGTTGGGACTATAATATTCTTCTTCTTGTCTTCATCATTTCATCTGTCATTTGTTTCACTGTTAATATTTGTGTGAAGTTTGAGTTGGTTTGAATTGGAAGAACATTTTATCACGTTTACAAATTTTAGTATTCATCGATGAAGAAAGTAACATGCTAATTTGAATTTCCCTGCAAACTCTACGCTACTAGATATCTGAATTTTCGGTTTCGAAGTTAATATACTGCCCTGCAAAAAAACGGCCACTAAAAATTGCCCCTGATTTGAAAGTTAGCTTCTTCTCCCAAACGTCCAATCTGATTCAATGATTGTTTTAACCATAAGGTTAATTCATCAGTTTGAAGATTCTGTATAGTGAAAATTCTTATTTATATTTCAATTTGAGTAGTATAATGGGTGCAAGCATGAGGATAAGATTTTTCCGTGGCGATTTTTTTCAATGCAGTTCATTTATCTACATACGAACCAATGGACCAAAGACTTCTGAAAGATTTTCAGTTTGTGTCACTTCGGAGTCACTGTCACTAACCACTTGTCACAATCGAAGAAACAAAGAAACGGTGCTTCCACAAGGATCCGTCCAAACCAACGCGTTTCGTCCTTCCAATAACGTTCATGCAAACTAGCAGAACGTCTAAGCAGGCACTGAAGTATTTTCTGTCCTCTGCGTATGCAGTCAATTGTTGAGCAAACACAATTAGTCCATAAAATTCAGGAATCAAAATTACTCCTACTTAACTTATTTAAATTTCGATCCTTTGGTACACTCACTATCACATTACAATATATGGCGGGTAGCAAATGAAGTGTTTATTGACTCTAATGAAGGATATCCTTCAGCGTCAAATGGTTCTTTCAATAGTTGTGTTTAAAATATAATAACCATCGGGCTTATATAGACTTCCCCCCTTTCAACGGAAAGGGGAAGTAATATATATTCGTTCCATCACTTTTCCTTCCTTTCGTATTTTGACACTTTCGATTATCATTCATTCCATGGGTACCAAATATTTTGGGAGAATTTTTCATCATCATCATCATCAGCAACTCTTTTCTATAGTCCTCGTGTCGTTATTGGTATTCAGTAGGTATTGAAAATATTTTGAATTCTCAAATCATTTCCTGAAATGGGCACCATTCTTGAAGAATGTCAAATTTTTTTTATCTCTTGGAGCGCACGAAAGGAAATTTCTATGATGTTCGAAGAACATTGTGCGTACCTAGGGAGGATAGGGAGAGGAGGTAGGTGTTGAAATTTTGTTTACTTTTGGAGGTTTTAAGTTCTTGGGAATACTTCCATTGGCAAATAATTCTAAAGCTTTGCCGTTGTATAGACGAACAAGTTTTGGTAAAGTATTGTTCGACATATTTCCAGGTTGACAACGAAAGGACGTGCTGACTGGGCCTGTCGAGCTCGTTTGCTTGTGATGGAATGATAGCAGAGATTTCTGAGGAACATTTCCCGTGGAAGTATTTTTAGAAAAGTGAAAGGTCGCCGACTTTTCTACGGTGAAAAAAAAATCCGCGTATGTTTGGGTGCTGAACCCCATACGTGAAAACAGTATTCTAAAACTGACCGCATCTGTGCTTTGTAGATCGTGAGGAGCTGTTTTTGTGAAGCAGCTTCTGCGATGGATCGGACATGATTTTTCCATGAAAGAGTATTGCTGATGGAAATACCGAGCATATAGTGGTCTTGGTGGGAATGGTGGTACCAGACATTGTTATATCAGGCATACTGAGTTCCGTTCCGAAGAAATACAGGTTTGAGTTTTGGTGGCGTTGAATTCAACTAGGTTGTTGGTTCCCCAGGCTGTAATTTCAGCAAGATCGTCATTCACAGCGTTGATCTGCCTTAGTCGCAAGTTCTTAGTTTCCTTGGAAAAAATGGGAATTCTAGAAGAGAACGAAGTATGGAGAGTACTATCTTCTGCAAAGCTGACAACAGATCATTGATATGAATGCGATGGGAATGCGATCGAAGAACAGGTTTCGATGAATAACTCAGACATTGCGACATATCATTAGTTTTCACTGCTGGATTTCACATATTTTGGGTGCCAATGTTCATACAAACTAATCTTCTTCCTCTCAGCTGTAAATTAGCTCTGGTACAAGTAGGTACAAATTTATATTTGACCCATAGGTATTCCTGAGGAAGTATTTCCGAGGACTTAGAATCTCTAAGAGTTCAGAAAAAAAATCCAATATCTATCTTCTCTCCATATCCTCCCTAGGTACGCACGATGTTCTTCGAACATCATAGGAATTTCCTTTCGTGCGCTCCAAGCGATGAGGTACTATAAACTGGCCTGCGAGAAAGATCGGCCACTGAAAAAGACTTCTTATTCTTGCACCCTATATAAGCTCAAATTGAAAATTCATTACAAATTTCTACCACATCACTATTGAGTCATCCTATATAGTTGAAAGATCAAATCTACGAAATCAGATGAACTGTTCGGGAGGAAGCCACGTAAGAAGAAAATTTGGGTTCAGATTTCATTAGTGGTCATTTTTTTTTGCTGGGCAGGGTAGAATAACGAATTGCAATATTTGATTAAATGATGAAAAAACTCGATAATTGACGTGATTTTTCTCAAACCTCAGTTGATAATAACACTATACAAATTTATGAAGCTGAAAGCAATTATTTTAGGTATAGGTATGATAAAAATGTCATGAATCACCCTGTACGTATAAATTCAAATTATAAGAATGCTATTTATTATAGAAGGGAAAAAAGTAGTAGGTTTTAGCTCCAGGTAGCGTTGTCTCCCGACGCGTAGCGGAGGGACACAAAAAACTGTGAGCTGAAATCTAATATTTTTCCCGTGTATAATACAATTTTTTTTTCTGTGACAGAAGAAAGGACGAATCAATATTGAGAAGATATTACATTATTTTGAAATCTGAAAATTATCGACGTGAAATTTTAAGTTTTTAACAGGAGGGACACCTGCGTTGTAGGCATCTTTATCATTCTGTCAGTCTAATTCTGTGATTTGAAGTTAAAAAATTGCGAATTTAGTGGTTGTTTAGTAATGTACATAACCGCAAAGTCGAATGGAAGATAATAGGACTTGATGCAGTTCTTTCTCGGAGTCGGTGTTATTGGCTTATTTTTCGAGGTAAATTCGACATTGCCTCTTCCACTATTTCATCTCCCATTTCGTTATCGATAAAAATTTTTACGCTACATCAGTGGGTCGGATAGCACCCAATGAAATCTTCAAAATGAGGTATCGCAATACCCCTCATCCCTATTCAAAATCCGGGGGTTGTGCTTCCCCCTGGCAGGGGGTTGTAGTTACGGTGATGAAGAAAGCTGACAAGTCGTTCCCCCTCAAATCAGAAATCGTCGGGTCCGAGAGTTTTTCCGGATTTTCATTTTGAAGCCCTGAAATGGGGGTGTTGAGTTTTTGTTGGACCACCCTGTTTTCTAGAGGAAGGATCAAGAAACCAAAATATCATATCAAAATATCAAATCTGTTAAAAAACCCTATATTACCATAATATGATCAGATATAAAACTATATATTCAATTATAAACGTTCTCAGATGTATAAACGCGATTTTTATTATTAATTAAATTTTTAGTTAAATGAATCTCAATAATAAGAGATATAAAATCATCAAATATGTTGGTACCCAAATAATCCAATCAAGTTACACAAGAAATTATTGTTGAGAACTAGATAAAACAACAGGTCATGTTATTATACATAAAAAAATATAGTGTACAAAACTGGGATACTTGATAAGACGAAAATTGTGTTTGGTATTTGATTATTCAACCTTTTTAGAATTGCGATTACTCTAGATATTTACAATAAATGATTATAACTTCAAAATTTAACAGGATTCAATTGTACTATTCCTTCTGCTGCACATACGTTTCTGGAAATCGTACTAATCTTCGATAAAGTATCCTAGTTCTTGCCTGTGGCTATTGCTTTCAAATTCGCTGCCACCCTTTCGGTTGCCTTAAAAAGAACCACAATTTTGTCGATCGTGTTTTACCACCCTGTTTTCTAGAGGAAGAGTCAAATCACCTTTATTCAGTCATACAATTTACTAGAAACCACCCCTTCCTCTGGTTTTTCAAATTGCACCCCCATGTTTATGTCAGTTCATCTTATAGAACCTTTCTCACTATACATTCACGTTCGATTTAGCGTTATAGTCAAAATTATGAACAAAATAAATGATTTTGTAGGCTCATTATTGTTATGCTGTTACACCAATGGTGATAATAGTCATTTCAAACAATCATTCAAGGAAAAATCGATATTTTTTCATAAAGATTATTGAAATTATTCGAAATTACCGAGGATGAATTTCCTGCTATGAAAATCTAGTCCGATATATCTCACAATTAAGAATGAAAAGTACTATAAGATGAACGGAAAGAAACATGGGGGTGCAATTTCAAAAACCAAAGTTAACATTGGTTTCTAGTAGATTGTTTGACATGAGGGTGATTCGATTCCATTGTCTTGGAGAGCTTTTGCTCCCATATACCTACTTGAATGTTATAGTTAACCCATATATCTGCTGGTCTACAAGCTCTGGGACATCTGGTATAGGTAATTTTGAAATAAAAAATGCGCAGACAGGTTAGACTCTTTCGACGAGTATGGCCACATATTTCAATGTATTTTGTGTGTGCACAAAAAGAATCCAAAATCATAGATACCTACCCGTAATATTGTGTAAAAACTAAAAAATTATCGAATCAAATAATTTTCATTTTCTGGTTTCAGCCCTGCATAATGAAAGACTATTATACTTTGAAATTTTGAAAACATATTTTTTCTTTAAAGTGCCTCTCAATAAGTACCTAGCAAAAGTGGTTAAGAATAAACATCTATTCTATTCAATCATGATTTACAAAAATCAATGCAGAATTTTCAAGTTCATATAATTTTGAGTATTATGTGATATTAGCACATTCAACTTCTTCATGGTCTGACTAGACTCCTAGCAGAGTTAATTAGTCATAGCAGCGAACATAAACAGAACGTTCGGTGGTCATAGCAATGTATGTAGCGCCACCTATCTTTCGTTGTCGCAATCAGGAATATGAGAATACAAGCTATTATTGGAACCTGTTTCAAGAAGAGAATCTGTATCTACTTTGTTGCAAGGAAAAGAAATCTTTTTTATATGTGAATGGGCCTCATTTGTCCATGATCATTTCTTTCTTTCTACAGTGAAATCATAGTGTGAAATCTAGCTTCTGATTTCATCTGTTAGCAGTTATTACAACTAAGAAGTTGTACAATCCTTCACTAGCTGGCAGTTTATGCAGATATCCTCAAGGTAGGCAGAACATATAATCATCAGTTTTACCAACCTTGGATATCCTCTTGGTATGATTTCAATGCATATTTTTCAATATATTTTGAAATTTTCATTACCATTAATTTGTTTCACAGTTGAGACAAAAAAATATCAAATATGTTAAAAAAAACCTATATTACCATAATATTATCAGATATAAAACTATATATTCAATTATAAACGTTCTCAGATGTATAAAACATACAGTGAGGTTGCCTGAGTTGGATAAATTCGTTCAAAATTCAGGTGATTGATATCACTCAGATATGCCAATTTTTATTTTTGGCTGCGGTTTTTCTGATGGTGAATTTATGTCCCATTTCATTTTTTAATCAAATTCTATATGTTCATGTAACGCGAACAGGAACTCAAGAATTATCGAATTATCAAGAAATTTACAGAATATTAAATGAATCTCACTTTACGAATAATAAGACATAAAATCATCAAATATGTTGGTACCCAAATAATTCAATCGAGTTACACAAGAAATTGTTGAGAACTAGATAAAACAACAGGTCATGTTATTATGCATAGAAAAATATAGTGTACAAAACTTGGACACTCGATAAGACGAAAATTGTGTTTGGTTTTTGATGATTCTACCTTTTTGAAATTGAAATTACTCAAGATATTTACAATAAATAATTATAACTTCAAAATTTAACAGGATTCAATTGTACTATTCCTTCTGCTGCACATACGTTTCTGGAAATCGTACTCATCTTCGAGAAAGTATCCAAGTTCTTTCCTGTGGCTATTGCTTTCAAATTCGCTGCCACCCTTTCGGTTGCCTAAAAAAAAAACACAATTTTGTCGATCTGTTGAAAGAAAGTTACTGATCCTCTTTAGAAGGATGTTTCCTTACTTCCTGTGTCCAAGCCTCAGCCATTAACCTCTCATGATTTGCAGTTTCAGAGTTTTCTTTTAGAGCCTGGCTGGCTCTAGATAGAACTACAGCACTAGTATAAATGTCAAATGTGGCCGATGCTAGCCTATTCAAAATAAATTGCTCGTTGACTATGTTCTTTCCATATTTTATCAATACCATTTCGATTGATTGTCCAAACATATCGATACTCTGAAAAAAATATTTTACTACATAATATATGAAAAGGTACAAAACCGATTAGATTAGACAGGGAGTTCGAAATTTCCGTTTCAAGGGCACCAGTATAATATGTGTAAAACAGCTGAAAGATAAATGCCTTGTTCTGAAGAAGAAAATAAAGATCATTCCATACATTGAATCATTAATTCCGTTATCTCAAAATGATGATCTAGAATTTTAAAAATGTCAATGTACTATCATAGGTACTATCAACTATTTATTGTTTCGGATTTATTTATGATGAGTTATAAATCATTCACAAAGTCATCTCCAGGACATAGTTTATGTTGTAAAGGGAAACACGTTTCGGACTTCTGGGAAATTCATCATCAGCTAATAGAAAGTTTCAAGTAGTGTCTCACACAGTTTTTTTTCTGTAGTATACTGACCTTGGCAACTGAATTTGCAGAACTAGCGAGATCCTTGTGAACAAGATGTTCCATAGCCGGTGGACTGGCTAACCCTACTTTCCTGACCATCCTCTTTGATGCCTCCTCGAATATAAGTCCCAAATTGGCAGTTGGGTTCTTGAATGCGTTTTGCAGCTCTTTCAAATGCGCTCCCGCATACTGGATGCCAGTCAGAGCTACAAACAGCCTCAGGATATCGTTGGTTCCCTCGAATATTCTGAATATCCTCAGGTCTCTCAAGACTCGTTCCAAGCCTGATCCTTTCATGTATCCCATACCACCCATTATTTGGATGGCCTCGTCACAAACATACCAAGCTGCTTCAGAAGCGAAGCACTAAAAATATAAGGGAAAATAATGATGTCCATACGTTTTTTCATTCATGAAATATCTGTGCATGATGATTACTGGAATCAAAATAAAATGACTGAAGCAAACTAAGCTACTCCTATACCAAAATACTCATGAGGATAATTAGGCTAATTAGGAGGTAATCCAGAAGCCTCAATACAATATACAATTTTTGTAGTGTTCAAATTTTATTTGATGCAAATGTTCATCTCACACCCAGGTTTCTGCTTCTTTTTTCACTACCTACTACTTTTAGGATTGTATTATCCTATTTCCATCAAAACTGGTAGCTTCCCATGGAGAAATTACAGCAATGTGGCTCGCAAAAAAAGCATTACAAGGTTCTGTAACCTGTCGTTTTCATGATATTTCGCTTGGTTTTTTGAGTTCAAATTTTATTTGATGCAAATGTTCATCTCACAACCAGGTTTCTGATTTTTTTTACTACCTACCAATCGAAAACGGCAGCTCCTCATCGAGAAATTACAGCAATACCTTTGTAATTTGAAACTTAGAATGTCATTATTATTCTTGGAATATCAATATTGGTGACTCATTTGAAAACTAGGTGGCTCGCGAAAATATAATTACAGATAATTTCATTCTGAGAAGTGAAACTTCAAAAAGTATTCAATTCAGACCAACAATTTACTTGCAGGGGAAATAAATGAACTGTTTGAATGAGTTTTTGTTTGTGAATCTATACTCACCTTAGAAATGGCAGCTTCCAGATGATAGTGCTGTGATCCAGTGTCCATGTTACCAGAAATCATGTAAGCCATGGACTCGGTAACGTAATGGAGCATGGTCATGCGAGCTATTTTTTCTTGAATACTTCCGAAAGTATTTATTTTCTGTCCGAATTGCGTTCTCTGTGTAGCAAACTCGACAGCTTGTTTCACGCAAGACTTCATTGTACCTGAAAGAGCTGCGGCCATACCGAATCGGCCATTATTCAAGATGTTCATGGCAACTTTGAATCCGTTTCCTAGACCACCGAGAAGGTTTTCTACTGGTATTTTAACGTTATCATAGTACACCTGAAAAAGCATTGAAGCATTATATCAATTACTGAAAGGATATTTTTTCACTTACTTCGGCAGTGTTTGAACATTTGATTCCCATCTTTTTCTCTGGTGGGCCGTTTGTCACACCACCGAATGATCGTTCTACTATGAACGCTGACACCTTATCTTTGGTCTTTCCTGTTTTCTCATCAAGCACCGGTGTTTGAGCAAACACTGTCATGATTTCAGCTAATCCCCCATTACTGATCCAAATTTTTGCGCCGTTGAGTATGTAATGTTTGCCATCTGGTGACAGCTCTGCTCTGGTCCTAATGAACACATAAAATAAATACTTACAGCGATTTGGCGGTTTTTTGTCCATATTTTAAATGTCAAAATGAAGTTTCCCACATTTACACTAGTATTCATATGCAATATGAGTAGACCATAATATCAAAATGGAAAAAAATACTAATTGTGCTCAAAACTGTGCGCTTGTATTCACGTCTAATACTGGTATAGTCTATCGAAAGTTAGTTGGAGCGTTTGTCAGTTGTACAATGAATTGATGTTCATGGCGTGGAAAAAATGTTGTATTGAAAAAACCCAATCTGTTAATGAGACCAACTTATTTCGTGTTATTTTATGACGTGAAAAAAGTTTTCAGGAAAAAATATGGTGATTATTAGGGTGTATTTTCAACAATTCAAGGAAATACTTTTGTACTTGATTACCTGTCATACTCAAGTGGTTGAAACTATTTTATGGAAATCAAGTTTTTTTCAGGGTTTCAAGTGACAGTGCAACCTACCTGATGGATCCAGCATCTGAACCTGATGATGGTTCTGTCAAACAGAATGCAGCAAATTCACCGTTACAAACCCTTGGTAAGTACTTTGCTTTCTGTTCTGGGTTTCCAAAAAGCAATATCCCCTTAAATCCGATCGACTGGTGTGCACCGAGAGTGATACCAACACCTACATTGAAACGAAAAATATAGAATGAGCTTTTTGTTTTTGTGGTTGCACAATTTTTATACCCAAATCATTTCCTCCTACTATTTCGACAAGTCTCGCGTACTGGGTGTTGGTCAGTCCTAGACCACCTACATCTTGAGGGACTTGTAAACAGAACGCGCCTAAATCCCAGAGACCTTTCAGTGTCTTTTCATTGATTTGTTCCTCAGAATCATTTCGGGCTGGGTCATTTTCTTCCTAAATGAAAAATTCCATCAAACTTCATAATTATCAAAAAAAAATATTGGCCTAGTTTGATAGATTACTATAATAATTATTTTACCAGTTTTTTTTTTTATTTTTTTCTCCTCTTTTCTAAAAATAAAAATAGGAGGAGTACCTATTATTTCAATATGTGTGTAGCAATGACAAATCAGATGATTATTGGTCCCAAGATGTTACTGCGTCTGAAAATGTTCCTATTAGACAACTTGAAAGAAAAATTCAATCGTCAGTAACACCTTGCTTTGAAAAATTTTTGAAGAAGAGAAATATTGATGTCTCCGATACTTCGCTTTGGACGTTTTTGGGCAAATCATCTGAATTGTCCGTACTGCATGTATATTGAAATAATACTCATAATTTTCTTTGCAGAAATGAGAATAAAATTGCAAAAATCTGATAAAATGAACGTTCCACCTCCTGGATTAACCTTCGGACAGTATTTTGCTAAAATGATATCATGATGCCAAGCTGATTTCAATGTGAGAGATTTTTTTTTGAAATTTTCGAGATTATGAGTTCTTTGAAATACTTCCTCAGGCAATGAATTCTAGAGCTTTCCTGTTCTATAGAGAAACGAGTTTTGATATAGTGCTGTTCAACATATTTGGAGGTGTGATATTATAATGATATGAAATCAACTCTTCAGGGAGAATATCAAAACACAATAATATAAGTACAGGGTGTTCCTTTAAAAAAATAAGTTAATGTCACTTCCGGTTCAACCGGACGTGACAGCTTATCGACAATATGTTATAAAAAAAATAGATCACATTAGTTGATGGCTGTACCCAAAATTTGAGATTGATGTCTCTTTCGGTTCTCTATAAGCATCTAAAAAAATTAGTTGGTGGATGACCCTGTATAGGTGATATATGGGAATGAAAGCAACAAATTTGGAATATTTTATTCTTGCTATTCACATTGCCTACTCTTTTGAGTTGTAAACCAAGGCCGTGCCCATAGGGGAAATCCGGGGGCTCTGGACCCCCCTCGAAATGACGGCATAATTCCGACTTTTTTCCTTGAGTTCGAAAAAAAAAATTGAATCAGCAGTTCTTTTATTTCTTGAACCTCCCCGAAAAAAAATCCTGGGCACGGCCTTGTTGTAAACAGTCACCATTCAACCATGTGAATAGTTTTCATTAGTCAGATATGTGGGAATGTGGGTTAAAAACAATTTTATTTCCATGACATTGGTTCAATGATTATTTAATTATATGAATATTACAAAACTAAAAAAATTACCAACCTCAAAAAATTTTGTTGTGGGGCTCACAAGAGTTTGGAGTGTGTCCCTTTGCTCTTCATCGAGGACATTTGGATAGGGAAAAACTTGACGAGCCTCCACTTGTCCTCTAAAAATATTCATCACGAAGGAATAATCCTCGGATGGCACTTTTGATGGTTTATCTGCATTTTGAACTGTCTTCAGATTCACAGCAGTAGTTGACAAACACCTGATACAGTTCACATGATAGTTTTATTGAGGCCAAATTGAAATTATTATGGAAAATCTTACCTTTGGATGAGAGCATTTTGTAAAATATTCTGCTTTTGAATTAAAACTCTACCCGTTTTCAACATTTCTAATTAGGATTTCAACAGAAAAAACACAGATGATACGTTGAACTTTTAGCTATGAAATAAATCAAAATCAAGAAACTATACACTTTGAAACTTGCACTACAAACTTCAAAATTTCACCAAGTTGTACTTTGGACCCTGCCCTGTCCTCCCAATGTCCCAATCCCAATAATCACCAGCTGTTCATAATATTTATATGCACAGATACACTCGTAGTAAAAACTATCGCATCGAACCACGAACCAAAAATGTTTTAACTCGATCGACCACGAACGACCAATGAAATATTCATGCATTCATGTCTTAAAAACTCTGTAAATATTTTGAAAACGTCTCTTTAAGTGGAATTGTGCGTTTAGGACGGTTAGGTATTTTGATTTTGAGCAGTACTTTTGTATGCACGTTTACATGATAAAATCGTGGCCGTGTCTATAATACCGTTCGCCGGTTATCTAAAAGGAAAATGAACGAAAATGCTAAGGCGGAAGTGAATCCCACATGAAATAATTTCCCATTCTGATATCAATCTACTTGAGTTGGTTGATTTGTTTTAAAAGCTCTACGATTGTAGACAAACGAAAAACTAACCAGTGGAAGCGACCTCTGGACCCCATGATATATGCAGTTAATGCATGCATGTACTACCAGGATAAAATCAAGCAGAAGAAGTTGGGTACAAATCATGGGTACGAATCATCATTTGTAAAGTTAGGGTTTTTGCTTGCTTGTTGCAGTCGTCCGTTTCATGCGTGACGGGGAATTGAAAAACATTCATACTATCATATAGGGTGTCCCTTAATAAAGGCCAGTACAACATCTTAGAATCAGATCATCGTACATGTTTCGACCCTAATAATAGTCTCATCTTCAGCGGAAAGTGAAAATTCTACAATATAGGTATGAAGTTAAAAATTTCTCCAAATACTTGAAAAAGTGCTACTTCATGATCGAATAATCAATTTATTTTAATGGGTAAAAGTATTTGTAAAATTTTTCAACTTCATTAGTATATTGTTGTATAATATTCACTTTAAACTGAAGATGAGCCTATTTAGGCTCGGAACAACAAAGTTTGTGGGGACGAATTTGTGTCTTCATCGCTGGTACCCAACCACTCCACTTTGACTACTTTGATATATGATGGACTTCCACCACATAACCAAAGAAATAGATGCTTATTATTTGTACAAAAGCGATGGATTTGAAATATGTCCAGGGGGGGTACTGTCTCCTCAGTATCTTCCCCCTTCTCCCTTTATCAAAGTGCATTAATGTACGTCAACAAGAACGATTATATTGTTCTTGAATAAGAATACCAGAATTGTGCCAGATTCTCGGATTTGCTAAGGTAAGGTGGGGTCTTGCAAACTTACAGCATACTTGCGGACTTTTAAACAGGGTCCATATTTATGGATCTCAGCCAGTGGTGTTCCAAAAATAATTGGTAGGTAAGCATCCAGAGTAAGTATCAAAACATTATGTATATTGGTATAGGTATTTCATGTATCCGACTTCCCTTCTATCACCTTAACCCTTTATTCGTACGTGTCCTCATTAGTGGTATAGGTATTTCATGTATCCGACTTCCCTTCTATCACCTTAACCCTTTATTCGTACGTGTCCTCATTAGAGGTGACTGATATTTTACTACCTGCAATCGCCATTATCAGTTTCAACTAACACCTAGAATATTATCAATTTAATTTTTTTTTTGATTTGCTTCAGCCACAGTCATCTGTATACTTGTGCATTATTTATTTCAAATTATACGTATATATGTACATGCCTAAGCAGGTTTCATAAGTGTTGATAGAAATGGAACAAACTCACGAAGTCATTTTACTAAACGCTATATTTTATATTTTACTTGTTTATACAATCAACATATACAAAAAAAAAACTAAAACATCTGAAATAATTATCAATGAAGTTATTAATTTGGTGGGAAATTGAAAGACGTACATTTATCAAAGGAACACCTTATTTTGAATTTTTGTATTATGATAGATGCCCAACTCATATAGGTAATTCATTCTGTGTGTAGTAGCTCACAATTTTATTATTTCACAATATCCATAACAATATCATATCAATTTGCAATATTCAAAAGTAACACATAAACATATACACTGGTCAACACCATCAGTCACCTTCAAATATTCTGATTTTTATTGTAATTTTCTATTTTTTGTATTGTGCAGTTATGGTCCATTTCCCTTGGGCGATTATTAGATAATGCAAAATAGATGAGATGGGTTCCAGAAGGTGCAAACACTTTTTTATCAAGGATAAGAATTTTTGCATTCAGCCTACTTCAACGTGATTGAATTCAAAAATCTTTCGTTAGAAATTGTCTTTCTCGAATTGAGGACGTAAATTTTTATATCATGTATTTCAGGAGACTCTTTATATTCTCACTTTGAAATGGTAGTCTATGTTTATGTGTGACTATTTGACATCATTGCAAGTTATACAGTGCTTTTCTTCAATGATCTCCCGCCCTTTGATTTATTGAATGGTTCTACGAAAAAAAAATGAATCTTGGGGTGATGCAATTAATGCATGAATACTATATTTTGGAGTAAAATTGACAGATGGAAATTTCAAGATGGCGACTGGGCGCCATTTGGGGAAAAGAAATTAAATGGAAAGGGGGGATACATCTTCTTGAAGCTCCTGACGAATACTTCGGGCTATTAGAAGCAAAATGTGTACGAACCTATAGGACAGAGAATGATAAATATTTGTAGAAATATCGACGTAATTGTGTTCGAAAGTGTTCGGCGTAAAATATCGGATAGGCTGTTCTTATGTCAAGAAGTTCAAGGCAATCATTTCGAGCATCTTCTGAAATGAACTCAGCTTATCTCCTCAAATTATGTAGTTAACGTCGATGTATTCAGGCAATTATTAAATGTTCCGCAATTTTGTAGTAGTTGATGTTATCGACTTTATATTCTAGGGTTGTGAAGTATTCGTCAGAAGCTTCAAGAAGATGTATCACAAGACATCCCTTTCCATTTATTTTTTTTCCCAGATGGCATCCAGTCGCCAACTTGAAATTTTCATCTGTCAATTTTACTCCAAAATATAGTATTCATGCATCAATTTCAGTACCCCAAGTTTCAATTTTTTTCGTTGACCCGTTCAAAAAATCAAGGGGGGGGGCATAAAAGAAAAGCACTGTACCTATATAGTACTTAACTGTTATCAGTGAGATTTACAAAAGCACTGAAATTAAACGATAAACAGTGATATGCTTCCTCCAAAACAATCGTGGACAACTATCGATCTACTTATTATAAATGTTAAAAAAAAGAAAAATATATGCTTAACAGCAAAAAAGCTGTCATTCCTTAGGTAAGAGTGACTCGATTTTTATACAGTGAGTCATTGGTACTTATTCATTTATATCATCCTCATATGATAAACTCTTCTTATATTATTTTATAGATGATAATGATTCTACAATAATTTTGAATAATTTACAGTAATTCATTCGATGAGACAGATCTCGGTAGCAAAACTAAACATATTTATACATGAATATGTTGCTACTCATTGAAAGGTTTCAGTGATATTCATAATCAGGAAATGTCAATTTTCTAGATATTTCTCCACTCGATCTTTTCACTGTCATGATATCATAAAGTTTCCATAAAATGATGTATGATTATTTCCTTTCTATAATTTTGTGATCCTGCGATTTGACATAAGAAAAATCAAATGATCCTTGAGAAATGAGCAAGTTATTCATGTACACAACTAAAACAAATAAAATCAATATTGTCAATATATTATTATGCTCCAATAATTTTACAGTTAACAAATAAACATCACATGCATATTGTTACACCAGTTTCAAAAGTAGCAGCAGTAGTTTTTTCAATTACGATTCCTTCGGAAAATTGTGAGGGTATACTGTACCTCCCAATGACCAAAGATTATTTCCAGAAATATACAAATCATATACAACAAATAAGCAACTTCACTTCTAAGTGGGGATAAAAAAAGGTATTTGTACTGGTGCTACTGGGAAATTTCAACATGGACTGATTCTAATAAAGATTCTGGACGAGAAAACATAGCACATTTCAAAATAATAGGAGGTCATTTACAAATTTCAATAACTAATCAACTAAAGTGGAATGCACAAATTTGTTATGATTTCTTCCACGACATTTAGAACTGATCAGCTAGGAGATCACACAGTTCAACGGAAACAGTCTCTTTACTTGATCGCACAGTTAATCTGTACATCTGTAAAAAAAACAAATTATGGAATATTCTAGGAACATACAACAATTATTATGACATCCTTCAGAGTAAAAAATACCATATATTAAATTACTCTGCAAATTATGTCGGGTTGTTATTACTATATAATGGGTACAGAAGTCAGAGATAATACCCACCTGAGCATTTTTGTTCGGTTCTAAACGGAGAAGACACCCGACTTGTTGCGATCTCATGTGGATTATGCCAGCGCAAACAAAATTATCGGGATTTGGATCAATGCCATCTAAAAGCGCCATTCCGAATCCCATAATTTTCGCTCTGGCTGCTTGTAGATCCATAGGAGCAATTGCTTTGAAAATCTTCTGAGATCGTTGTTGGTTTGTGCTGAAAAATGAGTAAACCCATTGAGTACTATAATAATCAATTTTGTTGTACAAATGACTTACTTTCCAAGATTTTTCCACCTCGCGAAAAATGAATCGCCGTTCATTTCTGTTGGCTCGAAAAACTTGTTTATGGTGAGAGGAAGCTTGATATTTATCTTGTGCGGAACCTTGTTACATACAAAGCTCACAACTATACTGGGTGCATCTGAAAAAAGATATTTTTTACACATAATTCAAACGATTGTGATAACTCGAAATACCAGTATAGTCATCGATACATTCAGCGTTTATCATCTGCTGAATTTGAGCGCCTGCTTCCAGAACAGGCTCAACTGATTTCATCTGCATATTCAATTTGGCTGCATTGTCTTCTGGCCACAACAAAGTCGGGACGAAATTTGTCAAAGGTGTGCTAGTTTTGTTCCCATAAAACAATCCAAGCCGTCCCAGATTCTGCCTGAACTCACTCTTCACTCCAATTTGAATCAAGTCATTCTCAAATAGAACGCCGTTGTTTTTACAGACAAACCTAAAAGCGCCATTGCATTATTTCCGAATGAACAAAATATAGTTTTGCATACTTTTTCGGATCCACAAACCAGTTTTTATTCGAAGAAGCATTCGTATTGTTATTCAATGGTTTACTACTGTAAATGTCCCCCAAAACATCAAGGAGAACTCCTGTATTACCAGAATTTGGTTGGGAAGTTGGAGGGGTAGACAATCCCAAAAGGTCAGCTGATGAAGAACTGAAATTAAGAAACTTTCGCGTGGAATCACTTTTATTTCACACTATTCAACAAATAAATACAAGGTGTCCTAGATATGTACCTACACAAACCCACGTTTTAACAAAAATGTTTTCAACAGGTAATCTTGATTTACTAATATATCGTTATGAATTGATTCGGAATTCGGGTCGTGTGACATTTTGTCTGTTCATTACGTGTGCGGTTTGTTTGATCCGAGACTTGAGCAATGAGCACTGATCTCAAGTAAGTATATAAACAAGTTTTTCACGTTTTCTAGTTACTTCTCGATCATCGAAATCCAGCAAATCATGATCTTAATGAAGTCTGTGCAACAACAGTGGTAAGTAGATACCTCCATAATGAAATTTAGTGATTAAATGAGACATCTTCATATTACCAAATGAACATTCAATTGGACCTTACCTTATATTGTTAACCTCGTTAGTATGGTTAGTAACAGGGGTAGGACTTTTATTTTCTTTGATCTCATTCTCTGGTACCCTCCCAGGTTTCTTCTTCTTGAGAACGGCCAGAATTGAGCTCTCTCTTTCCGGAAAAGCCGGCATTTCCTCGAGAACAGTAGCTAGTACGTCAGAACTCGCTATGATAGACAGCTGTAAATATTCCGAGGCCCTTTGTTGGAGTTCTGCATCAGCAGATCGCAAATTGCTGTGCTGTTTGAAGACTTCTTGGACTTGAGTACGGATTTCAGGGAAGAGATTGACGAATTTTATGTATGTGGAGAGGAGCAGTGCCCTTGTCATGGGAGAGCAAAGGTGATATTTGGAATGGAGGAGCTGGAATTGCACGGCTGGAGAGGAACGTTGATCGCCAGCTATTAGATTGCCGAATTCTCCAAGAATATACCCACCAACTTTCACCATGTTCTCATGGCATGCAGGTGCTTGTAAAGCCTACAAGAGATGAAATGATGCGCCATTATGATGTTCTTTGGACACAAACAGTGTCATTTTACTATAATCATGAGATACTACCAATGACACTTACTTCGAACACAGTTTTTGCAGCATAACCCTGTACCTCATCTCTATTTATAACAATCTGTATAACACGGTACCAAACTTCTTCAGAAACATAATCTCCAGCTATTCTAATCAAATTCAGAATCACATCGACATACCTGAAATAGCAAACAGATATTTCCTCACTTACTTTACATTTGTAAAAATGATCTTGACAAAGACTTGGCCCAGAGCCAATGTACATGGTTATCTTTTGAAATGCCACCCTCCTTATTATCAACCTCAGATAATCGTCAGTGGAGATTTGATATGATCACTGTACAGTTGCATACAGTGCATCCGATTTCGGTCGAGACTGCCAGGTTTCTCGGTTGTTATTAAATACTATTCCACTCTTGTTCTCGAGAACCAATTAGAATCGACGTTCATAACGTCAGTTATAATAATTAGTATTTCATTCTTATCCTACGTTTTCGTGAAAGTCAAGGTGGCCTTATCAGATTTTGCATAACTGTTTCCGTTTATGAGATGCAACACGATATTTCATACTCTTTCTATAGAGAAATTTTGGCATAATCCTGTGGCGTACTGTTTTTTATTAGGGGTATGGTAAAATATACATATATTATACATGGTGATTCAGGTTTTAAGGTACAAACTGAAATGGGTGAGAGATCTCATCATTTTATTCAAAAAAGTTTACATAAACATCGGTCCTACCTCGATCAGTAGCGGGGCTACAAGGGGTCAAAATTTAATTATTTTTTTTATCAATTGAAATATCTCGCTCACTTCTAGAAGACCATCATTTGAAGCATTTTGAAGATTTTCAAAATCTACAGGGTGATACATTTTTGATGTTGGTAGGTAAATAGTGTAGTTTAGGTATCCCGTAAGTTGGTACTTGAAAATAAAACAATTCCGATCAAATCAAAATGTAATTTATTGTCGAAAGATGAACATCTTCTATACAAAGTCATATATATAATAAGTAAATATATAGATCCCCATGCTGTTCATTATCTTGGACACAGTGTATACAGTGAACACAGAAACACTTTAAACGTTGCAATTACAAATGTTTTGTCTATTATTGACCCTCTTGCCTTGTTACATACACAAGTCAAACATGAAGATAACAAAGATACAAATGAGACAAACAATCAAAAGATGTCAGACGAAAGTGAAAGAGGAGATATAGGCGCTAATGGATGAGACAACCAAACCGAAAAATAATAAAGGAAGTCGTAGTGCTGATAAGGCGAATTGACGGGGGTACGATCGACATATTTTGTAAGCTTATACAAATTAGTATTAGTAGATTATTTCTCATTAAAAATACCATATTATTATATACGATGTATCTAAAAGGTCTGCACAAAATCTTGGAATAGATATGCTGTTTAATTTTTTGAAGACGGCTATGTTTTTCAACAGAGTTTTTTTCATCGGATAAACATCTCTTACTAACGAAAATACGAACACTGCAGATCGAGAGGGCTGCGAGGAGCAAGAAAGTGTATACATTCACGACTATTTGATATAGTAACGGTTGCAGGAACAGTTGCAGTTGGTCAGTGAGTACCCGGCTTTAAACGTACATAACCCAAATATGATAGCGAGTCCCTCTTTCTCGATCAGAGGATTATTTTTTTCGGTCGGAGATAGAGTACGTGATGCGTATGCCACTGGTTGTTCATTGCCCCCCGGCATCACGTGAGTTAAAACTGCACCGACTCCATAATCTGATGCATCGGTGGTCAACCTCACAGGTAATTCCGGATTGTAATGCAAAAGAATCCTGGCAATTTGCCGACCAATGCCAGATGATTTTATCCTTTAATAAATTTTATAGGTGATATGCAAGATTTCAATTGTGTGACGTTTTGTGGTACTGGATTTTGAAAATCTTCAAAATGCTTCAACTTATGATTGTCTAGAAAGTATTGACCACACCAAATTTCAAATTGATATCTTCAAAAGTGAGATATTTCAATTATTACAAAAAAATAATTGAAATTTTACCCTCTGTTGCTCCGCTTCTGAACAAGATCGGACTCATGTTTATATGAACTTTTTCAATTAAAATGATGAGATCTATCACCCATTTGAGTTTGTACCTTAAAACCTGAATCACCCAGTATAATAAATCACACAAAATTCATGGCCCACTAGCAGAATTTCATCATAATTTAATGTTTAAGGGTTTTTTGGCATTTCTGGAAATCCTATGCATGAAGTATTATGGTGTTCCATGAAATAATATATAAGTTTGTGTCATATCTCCAAAACCATACCAAGAAAAAAATTGAGTACGTCTATGGATTCTGCGCAAAATTCTCTGTTTTTATCGCTTGGAGCGCAAGAAAGGGTAATTCCCATAATGTTGTAAGAACATTCTGTGTACATTATTTCTAATAACTTCGTAGATATAGAAGGGTTCAAAAAGTATAAATCATCAAAATCGCCCTGTGTCTCATATACGGAAACAGTTATACAAAATCTGATTTAGCCAACTTGAGTTTCACAAAAAAGTAAGAAAGGAACGTGAAAACCGAGAGGCTCTATCTTCAATAACAATGGAGAAAAACTGGTAATCTGAACCAAAATGGGATGCACTATACATTGGCGCTGGGTTACTTAGCAGAATCAAAAACAACAAATACTGTCTGTAGGTAATTACCAAGTATAGTCGGTAGCATATTTTTCGGCGAGGATTGCCACTTTCAGAACCATTTCTTCGCGAATGGAATAGTCAGCAGTCTCAAGATAATTCAACATTTCCTGTACAATCTCCTCTGCATTACTCTTATCACACATGGCATACAACAAATCAACAGCTTGCTGCCGCACAGACACATCCTTTTCCATTTTCATGGAAAGAATAACGACTTCTTGGTGCTTTTTGACTGCTTCATGGGAAAATTCTGATGTAGCTAAGTGACACATTGATTCAAGGGCAAGGTATCTCAAATTTGTTTCTCTGTTGCTGAGAAACTGACCCAATTGATTGCAAGCCCTCACTAAAAGATTAGCCTCACTATCGTTGTGAATTATAAGGCTTATGGCCTCAAACAAAACTGCATTTTTAGCATTAGAATGCTGGACTTTCTTAGATTTTGGGGGCTCTTGTGCTTTGTTGAGAATTGTTTCAAGGCATTCATTCAGTCTACCTCGAACACCAGGATCTTCAGCTATAAGATAATGAAATTTACAAACCAGAAACAGAGGATATGAAAGAGTTGTTACCTGGAGGTGTATAATTTTGTAATAAACGTAACAATTTGACAGAGAGCCATGGGGCTGGGACGAAATAATAAGTGTAGTCTTGAAGATCTGTGTAACTTGCAGTAACAATCTAAAAATGATAGCTGGTGAAACAGGATGCCAAAAATAATGATATTTCGCACACTTCCCAATTTGAAACAGTTTTGTGATTTATCTAATGTTTCCATCAAATGTAAAATTATGGACAATCAGATTATGATTTACCAAAACACTCAAACCAACCTTATAACCCAGGTAAACATTTAAACATGATCACAAACTACAGTTTCAGTGGACAAAGATCCAATTTTAGAATATGATGAAAAATATATCTAAGTAGTTGAAAATGTTTTTGAAATCTGGGTCAGATAACTGAGAAAAACAAAAAGACATCTAGACATAATATGCAATACAGTAGCTCTATTTGTATGTAAAGAAAGGATATCTTTTATTCACTCACCCTACTCAGTCTAGAAACAGCAAGGGAGACACAACTCTTATACTCTTCAGGATTCTTCTTCACAAGAGCATCAATTAAACTGGTAGCTGCAGTAACAACCCCCATGTGTTGATCATTGAGCAGATGGATGATTCTGGAAGTCCATTCACCACCTGGTATAATCTCTTGAGATGTTCTGAATAAGCGAAGTAAACATAATGCTGCACTTTGTTTCACCACATCCATGGTGTCACTAAAAATAAAGTTTATCTTATCAACATGAAATTGTACCTAATTCATCATGTTTACATACCCTGAAACCAGCAATTTGGGAATCTCATTTCCAAAAGCTTCTGCCATTTCTCTGCTACCAATATTGGCAATACACTGCAATGCCAGATTGACATGAATTGGATTTCTTGATGCCAGATCATTTTTGATACTTTGGATGATGAGCTTTATAAGCTCACTGTTAGTATTGACTAGAACTGATATGAACAAATATCCCTAAAAATTGACAGGCTGTAGTCTTATTCAGTCATTCATGATGAATAATGGAGATGTGGCAGGGAATTTTTGGGATGCTAATTATTATAAGTATGGGTACATACTATTTGTTTCTCTGAGTATTTATTGGAGGAAAGAAGGTTCACTGCTTCCATATGTCCAAAATCAATATCATGCCCCAGCAGGAATATAAACAATAATTTACAAACATATTTTTTCTTTTGGTAACCATCTAGAGTTTTGTCTCCCTTGAATTTGCTTCTTATGTTGGCCAGCTCTTTGTTTATTCTTTTTATTTCTGCCTCCTTACTTTTACCTGCAATTTGAGAGAGTTGAAGCATTGAGATCATACCAAGGAAATAAAGTTACTTATGTATTTTTCACTCACAGTTTCTTATATCTGAAATAAACACGGCTAAGCCACGCATGCCATCTCCTCTAACTGCTGGCATGGCTCTTCCGCTTACCTAAAATAAAATATTATATATTTTGATATAACTCTGCCCGGTTCATCCCTGATTCGAAATATATCAGAAAGGTCACTTCAGAACCTCCCCCTAAGATAAGTATTTGACAGAATGTACCGATAACCCAATATACTCGCATAACTCACCCGTAACACTTATTTTACCAATTTCAATGTGTTATTTTTCAATTACCTATCCCACAAATTAATTAATTGTGATATATGAATAGGAACACCCTAAACTTAAATTTGCTATTATAAGAAACGTCAAGAGACCATCAAGACATCAAGACTGTGTTGACAATTTTGACGGACGACGTCGACGCTCAAGGCTTGACGCGATTGACGCACCGTTATAATGGAACGAGTTTTCGCGATGTATCAAATGCAAGACTACAACCGTTTGGTTATGTGGTTACGTATTATTGCTATGTGAGATGTTTGGGCATCCTACAGTATAGATACCACTGTTTTAGAATAGGGAGTTGAATTTAGAATTTATTTCTATGGTGGAAATTAGTTTTTTGTTTTGCTTTCTACGTTTTTTTTTGGTAGGGGTTTCAAAAATTACCTATATCAAACAAAATGAATGTAGAAAGTGGACAGAAGGTCCTCGGTCGATAGCTTGGAACATTTATTATTATCCTCCCTATATAGGTACGCACGATGTTCTTTGAACATTATAGGGATTTCCTTTCGTGCGCTTCAAGCGATAAAAAAAAATCATTGTAGAAAGCCAAACGTTCGAATTTTACCATGCACATTTTGTTGACGATGTTGCCGGTTCTCCGATTTTGTCTGAAATATTTATCGGTCAATGAAAATGTTATGATGGAATCTTGGGATTATCCTATTTGAAGGTGTCTAATGATTAGATCTAATACCGCTATCCGAACAACATTTACATCTGTTGCTCGGAATTTGGAGTTTATTTGACAATAATTACTTACACCTATTTGAATTGATTCTCAAAAGTTGGCAACAAATGGAAATTTGTTATCAAATGTTTTCAGTCGTCTACGAGTTATGTCAAAAAATATCAATTCTGATCAGGACAATGTCGAAAATTGATATTGTGAAAAGTTGATAGAAATGAAGAAAACGCTCAAAAATCTGTATAATTATACATTTATCTTCGATGAAAATCAGATTACTTACATTTTTTTTTGCGATTGCATACCTCGTTGGTCCCAGCACTGGGACCAAACGCCCCATAAGTCGAAACTTGTGCGGGGTTAGGTATACGACATACATCTTAGAAGAAATTCTAGAAGATAATAAAACTTGATTTCCATCGTAGATATAGATGTAATTATATAAATATATTTGAACGTAATTTTAAATTTTTACAAAATTTTTCCAATAACAATTTTCGACATTGTCGAAAATAAAGGCACTTTACGCTTGAGCGAAATTAATATTTTTGACATACCTCGTATACGACTGAAAAAAATGATATTCTGATATTTACAATTTCGGTTTAAGCCTTGCAGAACGTTTTATGTCGAGGAATTACTTTTTTCATAAAGTTGAACATTTGTTATGCCCACCTATATACCTACCCAACTAGCATTTTCAGTCACAGGCACCATGGTTCAAGAAACTATTACCTATATTTAGTGATAATAACGTATTTATCACTTATTTCAGAACTTCATAGTATAAATGTCAGTGATAGTTATTTAGTGAGTGAAAATTACGTAGTTTTTACACTAGATAATAACTTCAAAGTGAGAAATTCTCATGGCTTATTACGAAGTAACTATTTCGAAACTGTCACTCCTCAAAACTACTCTTAAGGTTTCGGAACTTTGGATATATTATTACGGTAACGCTTACCACCCCAAGAAGGCTTCACAGTTGCAATTACTCTATGGTCACCAATTAGGTTTCTACGACGTTGTCGTTACTTGATCGATCACCTAATAATTTAGTCAATTCTTGGTGATATTTCAAGTAACATATTGGTAATTCCTACTCAAACAATTCCTTCATAGTTGAAACAACTTTTCGGTAATTATATTCAGTTGAAGTTACCAATACATAGGTTATCATAACTGACGAGTTCCAAAAGTAACTTTCTGATTCATTTTCGATTGGAAGCCATATTGATTGATGTGATAAACATCATTTTATGAAGAATAATAGCATTCGTTCGATCACAAATTGCATAATAATGGAAATTAACATGATTTACGATGATTTTTGAAAAATAGCCGAATGAAATAAAACCATATTTTTGGTGAAATGAGCCGTGTATTTTATGGGCGCATCTTGAATTTCGAGGCAAAATCATCACATTTATCGAAAAACTGAATGTTGTTCGAATTTTTCAAGTTCGAGTATCAATTATTTCGCGTGTTTGTCCTTGTATTATTTATTGAATGGTTAGGCATATTGGACTTGTTCATTTTTCGTGAATGTGAACTTCATGGATGAAATGAAGAATAATAAAGAGAGAAAATAATATTTTTATGAAGTGGAAAAGAAATAGAAAGTCAGGTAGGAAAATTTACTACATCTTTACGTAATTTCGACGTCGACAAGTCGTAAGCATTACGTAATTGTGTGAGTTCCCGCTACGTCGGCAAACCGTAATAATTACTCGTGATTTGTTCCCCATTTTGGTCGTAAATACGTAGTAACGACGTAATTATAACGTAACCGCAACTAGTAAATATTACTTAATAGTCGACCCAATAGTCGTAATTACGTAATCGCGACTATAAATGCTAGTTGGGTATATATACCTAAAAATGAATCCGAATGGAATAAAATAGGTATAGCAGGTATACAGGGTGACATAGAAAAAAGTACATTGCATAGTGCCACACAATAGAGGATACTAAAATAAGGAAAAAAGTTCCTATGAACATGGGTCCGCAAGGCCTTCGGTTAAAAGATACGGGGTGTTGAATTTTAATGGAAAAATGTATTGAAGTACTAGGGCAACAATTTGAACATCTAAAAACTTAATGTTTTGTTCTAATTAATCATATTTTTCATCATACTATTGAAATGTAATTGTTGAAGTATTTACCATTGTCTTTTGCAAAAGTTACTTTGGCGCTTTTTGAATAGTTTGCGTGCATTGTCGGCTTTTAGATGCACATTTGTACTGGAACCATTGCTTCTAGCGACTTGGACAAGGCATACCTTTCTTAAGTATAAAAGGAGGGATAACAATTTTTTTTCCGTCGAAAATTACATACAGTGTATAGCGAAAAAGTTACGACCGATTCAATATTGATGGATCCCTGTATGTAGCGCCCTCTATCAGTCATCACAAAACTAAGATCATATTTGAATTTAGCATGATAAAAAACCCCTGTATACCACATTTTATCCATTTCTTGCGTGTCTGCCTAAAGATATTCAAAGAAAACCCAAAAAAAATTAATTTCAACACCCCGTATCTTTTAACCGAAGGCCTTGGGGACCCATGCTCATAGGAACTTTTTTTCTTATTTTAGTATCCTCTATTGTGTGGCACTATGCAATGTACTTTTTTCTATGCCACCCTGTATAATAATATGATGGTATGGTAGAAGTACCTATACCTACTTTTAGGTAGAAAAAAGGATTGAAGACAGTTTACTGAAACTATGAATAGGTATGGTTGGTGGTCTTATCTAGCATTGAAGTCTCTCACGATCGCAATATGATCAGATAATAGTTGCGTCAGCATCCATCATAATATAGGCGCATACATTCTGAAACGATATCAAGGATTCGAAGGCTTCAAGGAAATGATGTAAAATTATGTTATTCCTGTTACCTGTGTTACCTGCTACCTACTTATTTCTATCAATATACATATTCAGCTTAACGTCAAGGGTGACAAATTTCGAGCCCATCCCTGTAAATTCTTCTCCGTTAGCAATCGCGGTTGGTAACAGTACGACAAGAAACAAGAAATCTATAGACATTTCATATCCAAGTAGAAGTAGAAACAAAGCGGATTGAATACCAAATAGCAAAGTGACTTGTCCAGTGTGTGAAAAGTGAAACGTGTGGAGACAACCCTTCCACAGACCGTCCCAACATGTGTTATTTCGTATTTTGAGGAATAATCGGCAGTGCTCTAAAAATCATGTTGAAAATGGTTATAAAGTTACGGAAAGTCTTTGTTTCAAACACATTTATTGGCCAAATGTTAGGTTAAGTTGAGGTATGTCAAAATGTCGTCGACCTTTTCATTTGCCATTTATACCCTACTTATTCTGAATCCAGATTCCAGAGTCAGTAGGGTTAGGGATCTTAAGGGTAAGGGAGTTAGGAGTGCATTTGAAGGTTGAAGACCTATAGATATAGATATAGATAGAGTAGAACTTTCTATTAGTGTGAAGTTATCCACAAACCTTCATCCACAAATTCTGACGTAGGAGAAATTTCCCATGATGCAGCGATTTAATCTTATACAGTGTTGCCACAACGATTTTTCTTTTTGGTGAGTATGAGAAAGTACTTGAAGGAAATATTTACAAACCAGTATGTTTAACAAAACTGGAAAAAGTCATTGAGTGCTAGATTGGGAAAAACTTGAAAAATATTTATTTTCTTGCAAACTACGGCGTGTTTCGTCATGAAATTTTTACAGAGAGTTCATTACATTGATCGAAATGATTCAGTCGATGGAAACAGTTGTGCCAACCCGTAGGCCGGGTGCTTAGTTGAAAAAACTAGAAAAATATTTGTTTTTCTTGAAAACTACGGCGTGTTCCGTCATGAAATTTCTACAGAGTGATCATTACATTGAAAAAAATGATTCAGTCGATGGAAAAAGTTGTGCCAAACCGTAGGCCGGGAGCTATGTTGAAAAAACTTGAAAAGTATTCATTTTCTTGGAAACTACGGCGTGTTCCGTCATGAAATTTCTACAGAGTGTTCATTACATTGAGTGAAATGATTCAGTCGATAGAAAAAGTTGTGCCAAACCGTAGGCCGGGAGCTATGTTGAAAAAACTTTGAAAATATTCATTTTCTTGGAATCTACTGCGTGTTCCGTCATGAA